ATTAGCTTTGCAAGTTCATTCGATTCCCGCCAGCAACGCAGCCGCTGAGCGATCGTTTTCCCTAGCGGGAAACGTTATTACGGAAAAGAGAAATAGGCTCGGACCATGTTCAGTGGACAATTTGTTATTCTTGAATTCTTTTTATAAAACTTTCAAAACTTAAATCTTAAACCAAAAAATGCATCATTATTATACCCTTGCAGGGTATTATAATTTCAGTCAGAAGTTTGCAACGCAGTGAAGGAGGCACCTTCGACTATATAAAGTATATATATTCTTGATCAGGATCAACAGCCGAGTCGATCTAGCCATGTCCGTCTGTCCGTCCGTCCGTCTGTCCGTTTCTACGCAAACTAGTCTCTCAGTTTTGAAGCTATCTGAATACTATATATACTTCTATATACTCTCACTCGTATATATGTCGGAACGGGCCGGATCGGACGACTATATCATATAGCTGTCATAGGAATGATCGGAAAAGTTTTACAAAAAAAATTATAACATTTTTAGTTTTCAACAGAATTTGATCAAATTTAAGATATAGCCATTTCATATTATTCTACAATTTTGTGTAAAATTTTATGAAAATCGGACGGCTATATCATATAGCTCCCATAGGAACGATCGAGAAATTAATTCAATTATAAGTATAACATTTTCAGTTTTCAACAGATTTTCATCAAATTTAAGATATAGCCGTTTTATATTATTCTACAATTTTGTGTAAAATTTTATGAAAATCGGACTAATATATCATATAGCTCCCATAGGAACGATCGAGAAATTTGAGAGGAATGAGAATGGCGGTGGCTGTTGTCGGAAGACTGACAATCGCGGTGGCGATAACATTTTTAGTTTTCAACAGAATTTAATCAAATTTGAGATATAGCCAATTCATATTATTCTAAAATTTTGTGTAAAATTTTATGAAAATCGGATTACTATATCATATAGCTCCCATAGGAACGATCGAGAAATTAATACAATTAAATTGATAACTTTTTTAGTTTTCAGCTGATTTTCATCAAATTTGAGGTATAGCCATTTTATATAAGTCTTAAATTTTGTGGCAAATTTCATAAAAATCGGACGACTATATCATATAGGTGCCATACAAACGATCGTTTGATGTAGAGGAAAAATGCAAATCTGTGAATGTAAAACTGCAAATATAATATGTATAGGTGAATGAAATGAAAGCAGGTATTACTTCATTGTTTTTTAACACAAATATATATAATATATATTGTATGGATTCCTATTCATAGAAGTTCTATCTGCAAGGGTATATAAACTTCGGCGTGCCGAAGTTAGCTTCCTTTCTTGTTTTTAATTAGTATTTTTGGAAGAAAGTAAAAAGTGATAATTTGTGTTTTATAGTATTTTAAGTTTGTTTATTAATTTTAAGCATGAAATAATAAGTTACATCCTTTATTGAATTTTAATTTTAAGGGTAAAAAATGAATAAATAAACGAAGTAATATTATTAAGTTAATTCTATGCATCGTAACTTTATTTCCTCGCACACATAAATATGTACATATGTATGTATGTTCATATCTGATTGCATCATTCACAATCAAGTCAAGCGCAACATGAGTGAAGCTTGAGCATTTATGGTTCGTTGGGCTTCATCGATCTTTTCCTACCCAATCAGTTTCGATCATCATGCCGGTACGAACCAATCTGTTTGAATCAGAAAACAGACCAATCGTTCGTATTGTGCGCGAAGCTCGATCGAACAAGTTGTAACGATGTGCTGTGTAGAGTTTTGATCGGCTTGAGCGTTGTTGATTGAACCGGACCGATCATACTCAATGCAGTTCTCTGTAATATAATAAAATACAAATAAAAAAAGTGTTTTACTTCAAGGCCTTTAAAAATTATAAATTCACCCCAAAATCACCAATATCTTGGGCCAGTTTTCTTAATTCGAGAAATTAAATTTAGAAGAAAAAAAATCAAAAAAATATGTAGATTCTTATATATCGGGCCAGTTTTCTTAGTTCAAGAAATAAAATTTAGAAAAAAAAGTCGCATTTTAGTGGTCAAATAACCCTAAAACTAAGAAAAATCTTTCTAAATTTAAGAAAAATGTACCTTTAATTTTAAAAACATTTTCACATATTTAGGGAAAATCGCCCTAAAAACAAGGACATTTTTTCTACATTTAAGAAAAATCGCCTTAGATTTGAGGAAGTTTCTTTTCCGATTTTAGGGCAAATTTTTCTTAAATTTTTAGGGCGACTCGCTTTTGGATCCATTTTTAGGGCGAAAAGTGTACTTTTTAGGGCGATTTCGGGTTAAAATTTGTATGAGTGTAGCCTCTAGAAACACTTATGTATGTGTGTACGCTTTGTGTTATCTTCCAAATTCGTTTCCTGTCCGATTACTGGTGTCTTGTCCGAAAATCAAAAACAAATCCATGAGTTTCGGTAAGAGAACTCGGAAGTAAAGTAGGCAATGAAAATTCTACCTGTGTTCGGCTACTGCCGAAGTTCTGACATCATATTTGTTGTTTTCGGCATGCGACAGATTAGCAAATTAGACAGAGATGGAAATGGTGGGAAGGGGGAAATAATCGACATCAGAATACCCTTTTTAGAATTAGTTGGTATGTTAATAAATATTTACGATTTTATTCAATTTATGTTTACTTATTTTATCGTATGGTATATTGACACGTATTAAGGCAAAGACAAAATGTTCAACTTAAAAAATCTGCCTTGTGTGGTTATATTTACAAGGCATCGTTTGGGAGGACTATACCCTGGAAAGCGCCAGAATTTTCGGTTGGCTGTTTTCGGCTTTGCTTTGTTTCTCCCTATTCCCTTTGCATTTGAAGTTGACGTGTGACAGCAATTAGAAGTGCTTTTGTTAAAGAGTTAAAAATTAAATATAATAATATCAAATTCAATCCCAAATATTTAGATATAATTTCACAAAAGGTGAGTAGAGTGATTTCTAAAAAAAGTAGATTCTGTATTGACATTCAGTACTGAACGTGGTGAATTGATATCAGATGAGAACTTTTGTTACAGGACTTACCGTCACCATCATAAAGTAGAATATTTAAAAAAACAGTCCTCTTTAGAAAAACTTGGTATTAAAATGGTAACTCAAGTTTCTCTGGACTTCATGCAACTTATTAAATTGGGTGTCATGCGAAAATGATTACTTAGAATTTTATATAATAAAATTAATAATGAATATAGTTTCCAAACCAATTACTAGGAAGCGTTTTACAGTTGAAGTGATGTACACTCAAAAATAAAAGGCCTGATAGTTTTGTTATGTAGGAGAACACATCCCAATTGAGGTAGATAGTTTTGAAGGGGATGCAGACGGTATTTGTATTTTAGGCAGAAGAATTTAATAGTTTATTTGAAGAGCCTGTGTCCTCCTTAGCTTTAGGTGTTTGCGAAGGTGGCTTATATATGGCATCAGATTTAGAAAGATTTCGGCTATCAGATAAGGTTAGAAAAGCAATAGCGATGCCATATAAGGGGAAATTTTTATTAGTTCCATTTTTACATTTTCCTTAGATTTCCCTTTGTTAATTTTATTTATTTATTTTTTTTTTTAGTGTTTAGTCCGTAGGCGAATTTTTAAATATGAATCGGGCATGCCTTAAGCGACGGAGCTTAATGTATCTATAGAAGATTAACCTTCCACTGTCCGATGACAAAAAAGAGTATTTTATTCAAAAAAAGAAAAGAACACATAAAATCATAAATATGTATATATATTTTTTTAGATACGCTTAAAATGGAGCCACCGGCAACAAATTCAAAAGTTGGCGTTTGATATAAAAGGTAAGTAAATCAATTAAAATTAAATGTATTTAAGTTTTTTTCCCCTTATTTCATTTTTTAGAGGATGGTTTTTTAATGGAGCCTCAGAAAGGCAGCAAAAATGAAATGGATCGCCTAGTTCAAAAGGTAGAGGAGCTTGAACAGAAGATGCAGGTCCAAAGTAAGATTTTGGAGAAAAATACACAGGCGCTAGAGTCAACATCAAAGGAGTTGGCGTCCTGCACGCAGCAGATCCCAAGGTTGACTGCATTGCTGGAGGTCTTCCCTAAGGGAAAGACCTAATAATCCAGTCAACTTTGAGTTCCCTTTAAAGGACGAGCAGGCCCTAGTCGATCTGGAGTTTAGTTTAGGCCCAGAGAATAAAGAATTATGTGTAATTAATATTTATAAATCAAATATTTATAGAATATATATATTTTTTTTTTCATTATGAAAGAATACATTAACTGATTTCCACTGATTTTCTTTACAGAAAGTATTTCTAGCTTGGAGGACCAGAGCCAGCCAGCAGAGAAAATCCAGGCTCACGCGTTAAGTTGTGCGAAAAATAATTATCGTAAAAAAAGAATAAAAAAATAAAATAAATAAATTTAAATGTATTTCTATTGATTTTTGCAATATTTTATGGAGGGGGAGGATAATCCTGAAGAAATAGCATGGGATTGATTGGGTAATCCTGGTGGATTTTGAATTGTACTCCAAGGAGATTTCTCTGAGATTCCTGCAGGAATTCCTCTGTGATTCCTATAGAAATTCACCTTAGATTTCTATCTGATCCAAACGAATTCCACTTCGATTCCTTGGTGATTCCGACTGGTATTCTCTTGAGAGTCCTATTTGATTATACTCTAAATTCCCCTACGATTACTGCCTGATTTCTGATTCCATTTAGAATCCGGATGGCTTGTATGAAAATTCCTTAATGATTCAGGATGGAGGCCTCTTGAATCCAACCTGAATCCAAAAGATATGACTGATTTTATAATACTCTGCAAGGGTATAAAAACATGGTGTTGATTACGAAAAAAAGAATTAAAAGAAAATATTTAAAATAATAAAAATTTTAAGGAAAATAAATGAAAGTGTAATTATTACCATGTAAACTTTTATGATTTACTTTATAAAATTTTATTTTTGAAATTAAAGATGTTATTATTTTCCTTTATTTTATATTATATCCTTTCTTCTATTTCTTTTTAAATTATGTTTAACACTTTTATTGTCGTTTCTCTTTGCTCCAGAGCATACATATGTTAATTGGCCTGTTACACACCAAATTTGCTAGAAATAAAATTTTTAAATTTATATTATTATTTTGATTATTTATTTATATTAAAAATGTATCATATATACATACACAACATAAACAAACAAAAAAATAACTAAATAAAATAAAATACTCTTAAAAAGAATTTCAACTGCCCGAACTAAAATTAACAAAGGGAAAAATTATTGGACTTAGGCATATTGCCGAATTAACAGCAAAAACAAGGAAGGAGATTTTGAGGCGTGCTCATAAGAGACCTAGCGAAATAGAAAGCGAGACAATAGATGAAAAAGCTGGGCCTAGCACAAGAGAGAATAGGGAACCATTGGAGTTACCTATGAAAATAGATGAAATATGAGTTAGTGATTTTGATGTAGCTAGCATAGAGGAACATGCCGATGAGGGTTGTGATTTAAATACACAATAAAAAAATTGGTATTTAAAGCAAAAGCCATCACGAGCATGTGCCGAAGACCATGTTCAGATTTTAAATTCTCAAGGGTTAAAACTACAGCACTTTTATAAATATATTGATTGTTTAGACTGGGCCCCGTTGAGGAGATGGAGTAGGTGGCAGAGAAGGCCGCCTTAGCCTGTCCATTGTTGCCAGCACTGGGGCAAAACTTGACACTCCTAGTCTTTCTCGGCGACCGGACGGAGGGAATCATTGGGCGAGATTCCCCCAAAGTTCGCTTCATCACCAATGACCTGGATACATCGAAATGGCTTTCCACGTCGCCACCGTTCCCTACAGGCAAGGCGATGCAGTGGGAGTCGGAATCAAGCGACAGTGAGGCAAAGAAACACCAGCGAAATTCCATCGCATGGAATGGAGTCCCGGGTGGCGAAGTCATTCCCGGCCGAGGTGGTGCCGCCGTTGGTGCGCACACCAACACCAGCCCCTTCCGGAGGCGAAGCCACTGCTCCGCCACGCTCATGGACCAGCCCACTCGACCGGGCCCTAGGATTGACACCCGGCACCGTTGCCGTCCGGATGGGACACATGGAGCCAGTGTTGGAGGAATTAATTCAGGATACGACAGCGGAGTGGAAGCCGGTGACCTCACAAGTACATCCATCTGAGGTCCAGACCACGGTCAAGAGCAGCCGTCCCGCGCGGAGCTAGGCACCATTCCGGTGCGAACGCATAACTCTCCCGACGGGATGGTGACCGTGGCGGTATAGCTAGTAATCGAGCACCGGCTATATGCAGCCCAGTACTCGCGGCTTTAGTTAAATTAAATTAAAATACCCTGCAAAGGTATAAATAGTTTGTTGCATCGCCATTTCGTAGCTCTTTTAAAGGTTCTGATGCACTCCTTTTTTATCTCATTTCGAAAGACCCTGAAGACCCTGAAAAATAAAGTTGGCCTAAAAGAATGCAATACTTTACGTGAGGTCTAAACCAATCTTTTAGAGCTGGAAAACAATCGATGTTTCTTAAATTTTCTAAACATCGATGGCTCATAGGCCACTATGGATGCAACCGTATCCGTTTCTGCAGACACAAAAGTGACTATATCACTGATCATTCCAACATGCTGTGAGCTGCGCAAACAAATATTTGAAATGAACTCTTTCATATCTCCAGAGGCTAAACTAGTCGTCGACTACCTAAGGGTCCGAATGCCAGAGCGATTTTCACCGTACGAGGAGCATACCGCGACAAGGCTTGCAACCATTTTGGACCCACGTTTCAAAAGGATGGATTCCTGCAGCCATCAAATGCTGAGCAGGCTAAAAAAGCCTTAGAGTTAGAAGTATCCACATTTTTGTCCAAAACAACACCACGTCCACAGCCAACACCACCACAACCCAAACGCTTTTCGTTTATGAGCCAAAAGCTAGAGGATAAAATGAAATCAAAGAAATAAAGCTGACGCTATAATACTTTTGCGTCAATATTTTGATACGGCGCATGAAGCTGAAGAAGTGAATCCGCTTGATTATTGGAAGGTAATAATAAGTGTAATATAATTATTCACATGGTTAATATAACAAAAATAATTTTCTCTAAATTTTAGGAGCATACAAAGGATACGACAGCCTTAGCGATTTTATCATAGAAGTATTTTTGCGTACCAGCGTCTTCCTGCGCTTCTGAGCGAGCGTTCAGCAAAGGTGGACAGATTGTATCCGACAGGAGATGCGCTCTAAAATCGAATATAGTGGATAAGCTACTTTTCCTCAACAAAAATCAAAAACAATGATCTCAAATAAATAAATTTGTTAATTTTTAATTTTTTGTTTTAACTGAAAACATCGATTCAAAAACATCGAAAACATCGATGGCCCCAGACATCGATTGTTTTCCAGCTCTACAAGCTTTGCTAGTGTTGTTAATGACGTAAAGGACATTACGGTAACGTAAAGAACAGAAGACCCTTTATGTGAGTTCTAAGCCTAGCTATACCATTTTTGGAAATAACGAAAAGCTAGTTAGACGGTAACGTAACGAAGCTTAAGACAAGCTTGAATGCACGTACCGAAGTCAAGAGTTGCACTTAGCCCAAAACGCGTTTCGGGTAAATATAACAGCGAGCTCAGAGTTGCGTTACAAAAGAGAAGCTTAGAGTCCAATTAGGAAATTTTTCGCTGCTCCTGAACTGAAGTGGCTGCTGAAAGCTTTACCTAAAAGTGAGTATAGGAGTGCCAAAGTTTTCGGCACAGTGAGTAACCTTTTTGTCATACAGACCAGGAAGGTTTAAAAAGTGGAGGCAGCGAAGCAGCAATCATCCACGGCCAGTGCCAAAGGTCGAGAAGACCTTTCACTGAAAATTCTTAATTTTTGGTACCAGGGCTCAGCCAGCGGGTAACTATTCAAACGCAGTGTTAGTTTTATGCAGTGCTTATGGTGAATTCAACAAATTTACAGATTGGGACCTGCAGCAGAAATTTAAGTCCCTAGGCAACCAGCGCAGGAGGAGCTGATTCTCAATAAAAATCTGGCCAACAGCGCGGATGCGTAACCCATTTCTGGCCAGCTTCGCGTCTGAAGAGAAGATTAATTTTTTTTGTGAAATTCTGTTACGTAACCGGGGAAATGCCAAATGACTTTGACCAAGCGGGTTAACCTTCATTCGCCCTCTGTGATCTAACCTCCTTAGAGTATATTAGTGCAAGTGTGAAAGAACCTTAAATGGGGTTTTACCCTTTAAGCCCATTTTGGCTACTTCCTTTTTTCTGAAGTGAGATTATTGGCCCAAAACTGTTGCTAATGTTGGCCTTTTGAATTTGGAAAATTTATGCTCGACATATACCTCTGCTTGCGACTAGCCTAAAATTTAATGAAGCCAAAAATGATGTGAATTAATGCTGACTTGCAAACATTTTTAATTTAATTTAGTTTTATGCTTAACTTTAATTTAACACACATTTATTTAAAATTAATATGCCTTCACAATCCAATACAATTACAAATGGAGTTCTCTTGTTGCATAGCGAAGATAATAGTGTATCATAATGAAAATAGGGTGAACTGGCCATTCGATCTTTAACCCCCTTTTTCAGCAAATCGTCGAGGGAGATCGATCTTCGCCGAAAGATAACTTGAGTGAGTTTTGAATAAAGTTATTGCCAAGAAAAATGAGAATATTTGAAAACGAAAACAATTTAAAATAATTTAATTTAAAATACACTAAATGAAATCTACATAAACTATTGCAACAACTGAAATTAAAAAACTAAGAGACATGAAGTCTATTTATTTTAATAGTTAAAAAAAAAAAACATGAAGTAAAACAACACTTAAGCATACAATTTCGATTTAATTTAAACTTTTAAGATGAGAAAATATCTCTTTTAAATTTTTTTTTACAATTTTTAAACACTCACATATACACATATGCACCTCTTTTATATTTTACATTTTAATTTTAGCTTATATTTACCTTCTTTGTTAGCTTTAAGTTTTCAAATTATTTTATTAAACCTGTTTTAACTTTTGAAATCATGGAAGCTTAAAAAGCGCAATTTACCGACTCGTAGGATGACTCCACGGTCGTAGGGTTCCAAAGGGTAACCAGAGCCGTGCTCTTACGGCAGGTGATCTTAGGTTGAGTGGGTATAAAGCGAGCATAGTAACATCTGTTCTGTTTTATCTACTTCCGCTTTTCTTCTGACTTTTCTTCTTAGTGTGAATTTTGTTAATCGTCCTTCCGATTAACTTCTAGCTATTGTTTTGTCGCAGCACGTTAATTTCTTGTCTTGTTAATAATTATGTGTAGTCGTCGAACGAGATCTGGGTGAGCAAGACCTGCAACCCCAAAGCCGACGAGCTAGAGCCGGAAATTTATAGCGTGCCCCAGCAGCCCAGATCCTCACCAACCCCCGACGAACTATATGGTTGCACACTACAAACGTTTAGAGGACCATCACGCCAGAGCTAAGCCAACAGCGATTGGGAAATATTTAAGACGAAAAAGCAAACATTAGATACAAATATAGCTATCCCTTACAATACTTATTTCGATGATTTTCAAATCAACAATGCTCTAGGGATCTTATAATTACCTTGCAGTACCATTAATCAGTATGTCATCAAAGACTCATCAACAGACAAGGCGATTGGGTTGATGAATCATCAATGAATGTCCATACAAAATACTGATGAATGGGAATGTCCTAGGCTGTCATCAACAACAATTTATTAACAATTAATCAATGATTTAAATGTGTTATCTACACATTGTATAATACTTTTTTGTTTATTTCTTTTAACATACCTGTTCTATAGAATCACTGCGCTGCAAACTTTTTTCCAAACATTCCGGGGTTATTTCCCAATTTTCATTGATACAAGCTTTCATTGTGTTTGTATAAATAACTAAACCAATCATATTTATAATTTAAAATTTGTATTTAAAAATAACTATACAGGGCTTTGTCAGAATTTGTTAGAGATTATTATGATGTCAAGTGCAAATTAATAATATATTACCGATTTTTTATACATAATAATAAATTCCAACTATTTTAAAAGCGGTTTCCATTGCTATCTGAACCAAAGCACTTATTATATAACATATAAAGCAAAGCCTTATAACTACTTCAATATGATTGTATTTTTGTGGACTGGGGTCGCATGCGATCGGTTCTGTCTTTCCAAAAAATATGACAACGATGCAGATGGAAAAACATAATTTTACAAAAAATATGCAACTGCGTTCCCATCTACAGAGCACCGACCGATCTATTCCAAAGCGCCATGGACCAATAATTGGTTGAAATAAATACCAGTTACCCATATAGTTTTCCATTGATTTTGAAAATCTTGGCTTCCATTCATGTAAATCTGAATCTGCTGTTGTTCCGCGGTAAATTGTTTTGGCGGATTTAAATTGGGTATCTTTACTTGAGCGTCTGATCCACTGTTGAAAACGAAAACTTTGTGTCTCTTCAGTGAGGGTATCGCATATTATAACCGTTCGACAAAAGAAATGGGGATAAATTCCAGTGTAGTCATGACTTATTGCAATTTGTGTAGGAATTTTAATAAGCTGTCGACGAAGTCGGAAATAAATGGTGTGGTTTCTTTCAAAATTTCGAATCATTGGGTTTTGGTATGCAATTACTTCCAATACTTTGCCGAATGAATTAAATGAAAATATAATATTAGCTGAAGTACCGGCATTATATCTTCCTCCGAAAGTAAACTTGATCAGGATATCACCGCGATAACAAAACTTTTTCCTTTCATATATTTCAACATACAATCTTTTATCCAAATACCTTATACGTTTCATACTAAGAAATATAAATACAACTGCAAAAATGATAATGGTCAGAAAGAAAATGATCATTTTATAATTATATCCAATGACCGGACGTTCTATATGGCATTTTAGGTTCATTGGTAGTGCGATAATTGGCATTGCATCAGCATCAAAGTCGCCTATATAGTTACACTTACAATGTATCCCAAAATATATGCTTTTATTCATTTCTGGAAAGCAAGCGGAGTTTTGCCAACTAGGCTCGGGACGTTCATATTTCCAAACCCTACAGCTCCGGACTTCCGTAGTGAATGAGAAAAATGCTCCGTTTTCATTGAATCTATCCCACAACTCTGATAAATTGGCAGCACGAACATAAATATATACAGGCTGTGATTTTGTACAATGATTTCGTAGTAAGAATGTTGTTGGTTCCTTCATATCAGATTTTACGAGGCAAGTAAAATCTGTTTCTATATCCTCTAACTTTGGGACGTTAGTCATCCGAATCAATACACAATAGTCTATATCCGCATGAGTAAATTTTATTCCAATCACTGAATGTGCATATAGTTCGGTTCTATACATACGAACTTCGAACGATGTATATACATTATCGTGTATGACGTTTTCCACATCTTCCTCAGGGTCATCGAAATCTATTCCGCGTTGAAGACGTTGAGAATTTTGATCATCGCTTGCATATTCACCAGCAGAAAAATTCATTTTTAGTTTTGAAATATATTGAAAAGGCTCTACAACCTCCTCAGTCTTTTGCCAAAAATAATTTTCTGAAAATGCATTAACCGCAAGCACTTGAGTTTGGGCATCTTGCTCAGGATACCACCAATATTGGCTATGCTTATGACTTCTAACAAAAATGAGAATTTCATCAGTTCGAATTCGTTGACGAATTTCTTGAAGAAGTTTTTGAGTAAATACAATCGTATGCATTGAGTCAGCGGACTCAAATTCGATGTTTCCTTCATTATCGAGATCAAAACTTTCCATTCTGATATTAAAAGTTGACCGTTCTAATAGTTTCGGCCCTTCCTCGGGATGAAGGCGCCGGGCTGTTCCCATTCCCACATAAAATAAGCAACTACTTAACTTCCACTGCGCATGTAACCAATTGTTAATATGTTCTAAGACGTCCGGACGTAGAGTTGACATTTGCTCCAATTTGTTTCTAAAGTTATCAATGTTCAAACATGATTCAGACTCCGCACGACATTGAGATTTCGGTATATATTCCCACTCAGAATTAAATTTATTAAGAATATCCCACAGTTCATTTACCATCGTTTCATAATAATTGTCCATTAAAGTGTTGAGTTCATTGCTTCCGATAACTACCTTGAATGTCGATGAAATTAAATTCAGCATTCTGGCAATTGCACTCACATCCATATCATCAAGCGGTTCTAGGGATAAGACTACTCGTTTTGTAAGACGGACTAGATGGGTTAGCTGTGCAGTCGTATGTGGGTGGTATTCATAAAGAGTTTTGATAAAAGGTGTGAGACGTTCGTTTGATGTTATCAACTTTGCCACTTGATATAATAACAAAAACGCTTTTCCCCAATCGGCAAATTCCAATAAATATCGAGCTTGGGATAAAGCTTCATTAAATGCGATATCTGTATCTTCAATTTCAAATCGACGTACATCAACATAAACAGTAACATCATGACATACATTAAAATTATCACATATCTGTATTCAAAACAATCGTTATTATTATATATATATATATTATTAATATTATTTCACTTATAGTCTTTTGAATCAGACTGTTAATTCACAGACTTAAATATTGTTGGATTATGGGAAAAAACACAAAAAAAAAGTATACAAAAAGGAAGATAACTTCGGTACGCCGAAGTTTATAAACCCTCGCAGTTAGAATTGTGATCATTATCATCAGGAATTAATGCAATATAAATTATATATATTTATGTTAAAAACAATGAAGTAATGCCTGCATTAATTTCATTCACCTATACATATTATATTTAAAGTTTGACATTCATTGCCTAGCATTTTCCTCTACATCTAACTGATCGTTTGTATGGCAGATATATGATACAGTATTCCGAAATTCATAGAATTTTACACTAAATTGTTGAATAATATTAAATGGCTATATCTCAAATTTGATAAAATTCTGTTAAAACTGAAAATGTTATCATTTTTGCTCTAACAATTTGAGTTCGTTCCTAAGGCAGCTACATATGTAATATAGTCGCCCGATCCGGCCCGTTCCGACATATGTATATACGAGTGAGAGTTTATAGAAAACTAACTGCAAAGTTTCATTTAGATAGCTTTAAAACTTAGGGACTAGTTTGCGTAAAAACGGAGAGACGGACATGGCCAGATCGATACGGCTGTTGATGCTGATCCGGAATACATATGTGTTAACAACCTAGTTCCTAAAATCGTTGACAAAGAAGCAGCCTATATAAACGAGCTTAAACAAATTCAGTTCTTAATCCAACTCAAAACAATAAAGATTATTTTTAATAAAAAAATAACTAATAATCTTTAACTTATGTATATATATGCGTTGCAAACTTTTGACTGAAATTATAATACACTGCAAGGGTATAAAAAACAAAAATTCATAAGTACATTATAAAGATTATGACTATGATTTTCAGGTGGAGAAACACAAAAGAGACGACATATACTTGAGTATGGTGGTAAGAGATTAGATAAATTCAGTAGCGTTAACTAGGCGAATATTTCGGTATTTGCACTCGAGTTTCAAATTAGTGAGACATCTTCAATTTGAAAGCGAGCAAAAGCGAAATATAATAAAAGTTTCGTCTAAGGATCCCTAAAAACCACCGAGTACTTTTTAATGGATATTACTGTATATGCACTATAGAAATAAACAATCACATTTCAAGAATAAAAAAATTTGAGAAGCTGACCTTAGCGAAGACTTCGGAAAAGTCTGTGAAAATAGTGTTAAATCAAACGATCAGGAAATAACTACTTTTTTAGTAACATAACTTCGAATATCTCAAATTTCTGATCTGATGATGGTCTTGTTTATGCGTCAAGTTCGGATTCTACTCAGCAAATTACTTTTGTTCAGCTAAGCTTATCGGTCAGGAGCGCAGCCCTTATGTTTAAGCTAGTGAGTTCTATGTATGATGCGTAATAAAGCGGAAGCACGGCGGAAGCACGGCGTATAGGCTACCGACAGAGGAGCAGGAGATGCTCGGCGACCATCCGGTCCCGGACCGGCAGTTTCAGCCTCGAGGTGATTTTGAGGCTCGATCCCAGCCTCAAGATCAGAACTCCTACACGGACTCTGAGCGACGCCACTCTGGCGAAGTTTGATGACATCCGTCTCGCTGATCCCTTGTTCCATCGTCCAGCGATAATCTCCCTCGTGTTGGGATCTGACTTGTATCCAAAGCTGATCCAACCGGGGTTCCTGAAATTGGACGAGGGATTGCCCGTCGCCCAGAGCTCCGTGCTCGGATTTTTATTTTCTGGAAGAACACCATGTGAAACAACTACAACAACAACATTCAATCAACCCCTGCCATCGGCCGCCGACGAATTATTGATTTGACGACGGCTACAGATTTTTGGACACCATCCGCCCACTCCTTTTCAACTTTGGTAATGAAACTTCGCTTTCCAACAAAGCACGCTCCCCGATTTTTGTAGACCTGTTTAGTTAGAAATAACTTTTGTATTACTAGATTTAAAACATGAAAGGAAGCTCTTGATGTTTGCAGAAATTGTATAAAACATTAATTAAAAATAAATTAAAATATTAACATTTACCCAAGTTATATATACTGCATTCACCTTTTTATAGCTTTACATTCAAAGTCTGGCATTTCGCTCTACGATCATTCCAATGGCAGTTATATGATATAGTCGGCCGATCCGGCCCGTTCCGACTATATAGGACTATATAGAAGATTAACAGCAAAGTTTCATTCAGATAGCTTCAAAACTGGCAGACTAGTTTCCAAATGCTCAAATAATTCCACCAATCCTCTCAATACACCTACACAACATGACTTTATCGCTGGCGTGTCCAACATTTCGCTGTCTCAAGTCAACCATGTGCCAAATTTCTTACAGCGCTTGCTTGATCTTTGCTTCGTCTCTGATCCTGCGAGAGTCAGTTTAGCAAGGGTGGCGCCTCTGACGCAGTTCGAAGATCCTTATCATCCAACTTTCGATGAGACTCTTGATATTGGGTGTGACGTACAGAATATTTCTGACCGTCCAGCCAATAAACTCCTATGTTTTCGCAAGACGGACTTTGAACGGCGTAATAATTTTATAAACGAGTTCAATTGGTCCGATCTATACATGTGCAATGACATTGCAGTTGCCGCTGATATTTTTACAGTGCCATGAATTCATTTTTTACTGAATGTGTTTCGTTATATTTTCCGCCAATCTCGAAAAAACCGCCGTGGTTTACTAAAGAGTTGGCCGACTGAAAAATAAAAAATATAGACTGTATGCTAAATTTAAATTCACCGGTTCTCAATCTGCCCTTTCATCTTATTGATCAGCTCGGTCAAACTTTACCGTGCTGAACGCGCAGTGTTATAAAAACTATTTAACTCGTTGTAGGGCCCAGTTCTCACAGGACCCAAAACAGTTTTATAATTTCGTTAACACTAAACGTAAGCCTAAAACAAATCCTTCCTCGCTTTCATTTGAAAATACTACCGCAAATAATGATCAGGCAATAGCCGATCTATTTTCGCAGTTTTTTCAAACAAGTTATGCAAACTCCTCGTATTTACACCAGACTTATTCCTACGACATACCCAATTTTTTTCTGTCCTAGCCTAAACGAAAGCTCTCTTCTTTTAGATCTTCATCGTGTCAAGACAGTGTATTCGCCAGGTCCCGACGGAATTCCTGGCTGTGTGCTCAGGTATTGGGCCGACGCCTTATGCTATCCCTTTCTGAAATTGTTTACCTTGTCCTTAGAAATCTCCCACTTTCCCATTACTTGGAAGGAATCGTTTATTATTCCTCTCCACAAAAAAGGTAGCAAATTGGATGCCAGCAATTATAGAGGAATCTCTAAGTGGTCGGCCATCCCTAAACTTTTTGAAAACATTATCACCACTCACTTACAGCACCTTTGTAGATCAGTTATTTCTCGATGTAAACATGGTTTTATTAAGCGAAGATCAACAACAACAAATCTTTTGGAACTCTCTTCCTATATTATAAAGGACTTCCATAATAATTTTCAGACAGACGTAATCTATACTGATTTCAGTAAAGCATTTGACTCTGTTAACCATTCTCTCCTCGTAAGAAAACTCGATTCAATGGGTTTTCCAGGTGATCTTCTTAATTGGATCTCAAGTTATCTGAATGGCAGGACGCAAAAGGTCCTCTTTAAGAATAATTTATCCAATGTTCTAAGGGTTACATATGGCGTCCCGCAAGAAAGTCATTTGGGACTCTTATTGTTTACATTATTTATAAATGACCTGCCCAAAGTCTTGACTAACTCCAAAATGCTTATGTACGCGGATGACGTCAAGCTTTGCGTGCAATATAATGACGTTGCCTGCCAGTCGGATTTACAAACAGATCTCAATCATTTTCAAACTTGGTGCTGTGTAAACTTATTAAATTTAAATGGCTCGAAATGCAAGCTAATGACATTCTCTCGTGTCGTTCCTAAGCTTGCTACTTACACTGCTGCTCTTTGAAAAGAATAAATTCCGTTGATGATCTGGGCGTCCGCTTGGACCTAAAACTTGACATTATTGATCATATTTCGTCTATGGTGAATAGAGCCAGGGGTGTGCTTGGACTTATTAAACGGTGGTCAAAGGAATTCAATGACCCCTAAGTTACTAAATCCTAATATACTTCCATAGTTCGTCCTATCTTAGAATATGGATGCTGCGTTTGGAGCCCTCAGTACGGCGTCCATAGTAAACGCATTGAGTCGGTTCAAAAGAACTTTTTACTTTTCGCTCTACGAGGTTTAAATTGGGATGCAAACCAAAGATTACCTTCCTACTCTAGTAGACTCCTTTTAATAAACTTTCCGTCCTTAGCCAATCGTAGAACGATGCTAGGGATAACCTTTATTTTTAACCTTATACATGGTGATGTGGAAAGTGCTGACTCGTTGAGTCAGCTTAATTTCCATGTACCATGTAGAACTACTAGATCCTATATCCCATTAGTGTTGCAGTTGCAAGCATTGACAAGCAAAAGTACAATTTAAAAATTGTTGGCATACTTTTAGTGCCACATTTTACAAGCATCTATAAAAATGATTTTTTTGGTGAAAACTTAAAAAAATTATTGGTTTAAAAACTACTTTTTTTTTGTTTTTTTTTGTAATAGAGACCATATTGGAAGTAAAAAACAATTGCAGTAGATTGCTTCAAAGACGTTTATGTAATTGAGACTAGAAATTTGAACTTAAGGGGCTTAAAACTTAAAAACTACTGCATTTAATGCAACAAATATATTTTTTTTCTAATAATAATATATAAATATTGCCTAAATACTCATTTCTGTAAAGTAAGATCCAAATCGAATTGCTGGTTTTTATTTTTTATGAAAAAAAAAAAATATTTTCTAGTACTCATTTTTGAACACATAAAATTCAATGTTTTGAGAATGTGCATGCCAAATTTTACGTCTCTAAAAAATTTATTTTAGAAGTTACAGAGTTTTGGCCA